ACAGTTGCCCTTAATCCAAGCATCAAATTATAGGTAGATAACTATAGATGCTGAACAATGCCTACCTAAGAATGAAGTCAGCACATGAGGGTTAGCCCTTGAGCACATCTGGAAACGATCCATGCTAAAGCTTTAGCAAGAGCAATTGCCCAACTCTGAAGCATCTTTAAACTCAATGGAGGTCAGGTGGCTTGAGTAAGACCAAGCCACCCTTTATGCTATTGTGTTTTGCCTTTTGGCCCAATACTTTTATTGTTCTTTTTATTCCTTACCGCCAAATTACTGATTGTCTTGATGTGTCTCATTCCAAGCACTGACTGACAGTTGAATCGTTTAAAAAACGTATTTGATCATCGGTCATTGGGATACAAAAAGAGCTATTGTTTTATGCTTAAGTCCATCCGTCTGTAATCAATTTCATCTTATAGATCTATAGAAATAGAATGGCTACCACTAAAAGGTAACTTTTATAAACCTCAGTGCAGCATTTGATTCAATAAATAGGGACCCTCTTTGCAAGAATCTTATGGACCTGAACATGGATTCCAGATTCCTCTCTTTAATCAAGGCATTATACTCAAATTCATGCCTAAAAGTACAAACAGAAATGCATTGTTCCATATCAGGAAAACTTAATATCAATAAAAGGGGTCAGGCAAGGATATATATTGGCTCCCGTTTTGTCTAATCTGAATATTATTTCCCTTCATTCAACTGATATGCATATGATAAAGTTAAAAATAAACATGTAAACTTTTTGCTCTATGCAGATGACATAATATTAATGTCATGTACCCAGGTAGGGATAAGAAAATTAATGCACAGATTTAGTTCATACTATTTACTCAACTATTTGAACATCAATAAAATACTGTAGTTGTTTTGGAGCCTGGAGAGGGAATATACAGATTGAGTATATACTTAGGCATTGTTTTCACATAAATAAATTCCTGGCTCCCTCATAGAATAAGAGAGTTGGAAGGGACCTTGGAGGTCTTCTAGTTCACAGCTTTTCAACTTTTTCACAGATTGTAGTACTTTTAGGAAATGACAATATTTGAGTACCACCAGTGCTTAGCAAAGTGTCAAAAACTTGATGACTTAAAAAAAAGGGGGAGGATTTTGGGTTTTACTGATTAGATTCATTTGTTGTTATAGAAATGGCTAATTTATAATATTATGGAAAAGTAAAAAGTTGAGATTCAATGTTAATGTTTTCTTCTACTGCAACAGAGGAAGTATGTTCTTTTTCCCTTCTCCCCCTCAATTTTTCCCTTTTTTCCTCCCCACTGTATCCTACTATTTGCTTTTGTGTTTTTGTATTTTATTCTATAATCTAATAAAATGTTGCAAACTGTAGAAAAAGGCAAAAAAAGTACCGATTTTAATTTTTTGGGTGGCTGTTCCTTTGTTGAATCCCTTTCCCTTTGCACTGACAAATATATGATGAATTTATCCATGTTTATTAATATGCACCACTACCAGCTAGCTCAGGAATCTTCAAACTTGGCACTTTTAAGACTTCTGAACTTCCTCAGCCATCATGGCTGATTGAGGAATTCTGGGAGTTGAAGTCCACAGTTCTTAAAGTTGCTAAATTTGTAGACCCTTGAGCTAGCTGATTGGCCCTTCTTCCTCTCTCCCTCTCCTCTTTTTCCTCCCTGCCTTCTGAGCTGAGCCCCAACAGTCCTGCAGCTCCAGCTACCTCTCTCTCAGGCTTGGGTCGCTTTGGCTCATTCCCCTCCCCCACTACACTTCTCTAGGATGGTCGCCACCTGCCACCTGCCAAAGTACCACTAGTGGTACACATAAAACTGGTTTAAAAACCCTTTTCTAGTCCACCCCCCTGCTTGAGCCTATTCCATTTCAGACAGGTGGCTGTCTAGTCTCTTCTTAAAAGTTTCCATCCAGCAATGGGGCACCCACAACTTCTGCAGGTAAGACATTCCACTGATTAATTTTTCTCGCTGTTAAGAAAATTCCCCTTAGTTCTAGATTGCTTCTCTCCTCGATTAACTTGCATCCGTTGTTTCTTGTCTTGCCTTCTGGTGCTTTGGAAAATAGATTGATATTCTTATCTTTGTGGTAGCCCTGTGCTACCTTAGACATAAGGTGGGGGGAGGGATGTCACATGATTGCAAACAATAACTATGTTGATGTAATGTGCTTAATTAAGTTAATTAAATACCTACACATATTAAGCTATGTGTAGGGCTAACAGACTGCAAAAATAACAGGTTTGGTCTCCAGACATGTAAATGTATAGCTTAACTTGCTGCTGGAAATTCTATTTGGTCAGTTTATGGTTCAATATATTGTGTAAATTGAGAAAAATAATTATCAGGTTCACTCACCTAACCTACAAAGGTACTTTTTCCTATTTTCCGGCAACTGCGAGGCGGGATAACATGAAAACCCATCTCCTGAGGCCAGGCGAAAGATAATTTCTCAAGTTGCCAACACAGTCTGCCCTTCTGATGGGTGCAGCAGCACAGAGTAGCGCTCTGCACAGCTGGTCAATGTATCTCTATGGCTTCCACCAACACTTTTAATGTTTCCAGTCTCGCCCTCCTTCAGCGGTAGCAAGGCCTGTCGGGCGATGGTGGCTGTAAGGGGCCTCAGTATTTTGGTGAAGGGGACTGAACCAGATCCCATGGAAGTGAAAGAGGGTGAGCTGTTGCTTCAGACTGGAGCCCCCCCTACCCCCTCACCTCTGCTACAGCATCAGCAGAGGAAGTAGCAGTGCCGGTGGGACATCACTGAGGCAACTGATGCTGGTAATGAATCCAGGTGGGGAGGGAGCTGCCAGTGCCGCTGCTATGAGGTGAAGCCAGTGGGGGAAGGGGGATAGGACCCATGTGCCCTGCTTCTTGGTATCATGCCGCAGCCTCTCATGCTGCCCAACTGGTCCTGGGCACAATGTTGCATCTCCATGTGGCAGTGTTGCTGAAATTGGCCGCATCACCAGTGGGGTGATGTGAGAGCTGTGGCAGGATTCCGGTGAGGTAAGTGGTCCAATCCCACTTACCTCACCAGCTTTGCCTCATGGCAGCGGAACTGGCAGTTCCCCCCCCAACCTGGCCCATTTCCCCGGCTCCGTTACCAGCAGCAGCTCCCTCAAGTGGCAATCTGCACAGCTGATCAATGTATCTCTATGACTTCCACCTTCATTTTTCATGTTTCCAGTCTCACCCTCCTTCAGAGACAGCAGGATCTGTGAGGTGATGGCGGCTGTATTTTGGTGAAGGCGACTGAGCTGGAGCCCATGGAAGTGGATGAGGGCGAGCTGTTGGGTGCTCACTGAGGCAGCTACTGCCAGTAATGGAGCTGAGGAAACGGCCTCAGAAACCAGCCCCACTTGTGCTGCGGCCAATTTTGGCATGTTGCTGCATCACGGAAATGCAGCATCATGCCGCAGCACCAGTGGGGTGATGTGAGAGGCTCCGGCAATGGGGCATGTGGGCTCCAGGAAGCGGGATATGTGGGTCTAATCCCCCTTCCCCCATTAGCTTCACCTTGTGGCAGTGGCACCGGCAGCTTGTCCCCCACCCGGCCCATTTCTCCAGCTCTGTTACCGGCAGCAGCTGCCCCAGCGAGCACCCCATCGGCATGGCTAGTTCCTCTGCTGATGCTGTAGCAGAGGTGAGGGGATAGCAGGGGCTCCAGTCTGAAGTAATAGCTTGACCTCCTCCACTTCCATGGCCTCCAGCTTGGTCGCCTTCACCGAAATACGGAGGCCCCATACACCCACCATCACCCCACAGTCCCTGCTACCACCGAAGGAGGAAAAGACTGGAAACAGGAAAAGTGTTGGTGGAAGCCATAGAGATGCTGACTGGCTATGTAGAGCACCACTCGAGGTAGCGGCTGTGCCAATGAGAGGTGCGGACTGTGGCACGACTTAAGAAATTATTTTCCACCCGGCCTCAGGAGATGGGTTTTCATGTTATCCCGCCTTGCCAGAAAATAGGAAAAAGTACCTTTGAAGGTTAGGTGAACCTGATGATTATTAATGTTCTCAATTTGCACAATCAGGAGTGTATGTGTGTGGGGGTGTTCTGCCATGGATCAACCAGTTTTCCAAACTCAAAAAAATTTAGGTAGCAGTTCGCTCGAACCCGTGTGAACTGGCTGAATCCCACCTCTGACCTTAGAGATCAAATAAAATGTACAGTGTACAGTCACCATGGGCCTTGCTCCTTAGCGGTTGTTGGTGTCTACTGCCTTGTGACTCACTACATCATTCCTTATGGGAAAAATTTCATTGGTATTCGTCATTTTTGGTACTGATTGCACCTCCTGGAACCAATTAACGATGAATACTGAGGTACCACTGTATTATAATTAAAGGAGAAGAGACTCACTAATACAGAATGAAGCAAAGTAAACTGAGTTTGGAATGGAACCTGCTATTAGAAAATCTGTTTTATTATACAGAAAAATGTAGCAGAGGATTATTATATAGCCATACAGACGCGTAGCACAGGATGGTGACATAGCCATACAGATCAAATAAAATGTACAGTGTACAGTCACCATGGCCCTTGCTTCTTAATGGGTTCAACTGTCACAGGAAACTCTCCTCAGAACAAGTAGAAGAAGAGATTGGATCTAGTCTAGGTTCAGCCCTAAGAATGGGATGACAAATACATTGGTTGCCTTGTGGATGTTCTGCACTGGGATCTAGATGGGTGGCATGCCCTTTTTCTTGTTTTGTTCATTCTGTCAGCAGCTTTTTATTACCTTCAAGCATGGTATCCTTTGAGGACATCTATGACGTTTGCTCTGGCTGGAGAATATGAAGTCCATAGAGAAATTTATTAAAAATGAAAAAAGGTACTAAGACTTAACAGATAGTAATATGTTGCATTGGCATCCAAAGGGGGAAAAAAGATAAAAGATAACAAGCATACAGCTGTTTGTTTGTTAGGCATGTTGTGTGAACCCAGCAATATATTGAACACGTTCCAGTGTTGAGTAAATAGAAGCAAAACATAATATTAAGTGAATAGGTATATAGGAAACGTTTATTATAGTGAATAGCTACTCCATAATTACTTTTATGCTTTTTATATTGTTTATGTTTAAAACTTTGTGGGAATAGCACAAAATTTGTAAGGGTGTGGATGCAATGTCACTTTTACAACAGGAGCTTCATTGAGTTCTTTCACTCCTTCAGGCAACTGGAAACTGAAGGCCCTCAACAGGCTGATCAGAAAGATGAAGATCTCAATTCTTGCCAGCTGCTGTCCCAAACATGCACGTTGACCTGTAGATCAGACAAAGCATGCATAAAGGGAATAATAATCTGTTCTCTAGTTTATAAGTACATCATCAAGGAAATCTTAAAAGATTTGTAGCATCCCGAAAAGGTTTCCATGTTGACCTGGCAATACTGTGGTAGGGGAAATTCTTCAGTCATTAAAATGGCAGAGTTAATGAATCTAGGAGCAAAACTTTGTGGCCTGAATCCATTGATAACAAGCTACAATTTGGCTTGGATTTTGGATTTAGTTAATAATTATTCCCAAAACACCAGAGATAATTGTGCAAACTTGTACATGTCTTATAAAACTCTACTAATTAGAATGTAACTAAGAGTTTGGAAACTAGAAGGAATTCAAATTCCTGGATTTTCTGTTCAGACCATGATAATTTCAGAATCTGTGATTTTAGTGGTGCTGATGGTGGGAAACTATAAATTATAAATTGCTTTGGGCTCAAGGATGTACCTATTCCAAATGGCAGGAACTCTTCCCGTTCAATGAACTTCCCATCCTTATCTAAAAAGTGATTTGGGTTAAATTCTTCAGGTGTCTCCCATTGTTCAGGGTCAAGAAGAACAGAGCGCAGGTATGGGAAAATAATGCTCCCCTGTAAAAAACAATAATAGGATTAAATAGAACAGTTTCATAAGGAAATGGGCAAAAATGTTTAAACAATATTGATGAAACATTTAATTTTAGTTTGTCTTTATGCACCCTTATTGGTTCATTTCCAAAGCAGATTGTGAGATCAGTGGCTTCTCCTTTGTCCCCTCCCTTCCATTAAAACAGAGAGCTGTCCTTATCAGTCCAAATTGCCCCAAAAAAGAAACATGGTGACACATGACTTCAGTTCCCAACTTAATATTATCATCTTCTTACAATAAATAGAAAATGTTTATGGTTCTAGCTTTAAAATCTGACAGCTGTTAAATTTAAATACATCATCCATTCCCCACAAAAGTTTGCTATTCTTCCTAATTCGATTTTGCATGACTCCTTCGGCAGTTCCTGAACAGAGAGCTTGTGTCAAAGTCCATATTCTGCTTTTACTTCCATAATGGACTACTGGAATGCAGCCTGACCATGTTTCTCACCTTTGGAATAAGGTAACCCCTCATCTTCACATCCTTTGTACTTTGCCTGGAAACCCCAAAAAGCAAGACATATTTTACACGCTGCATTTCATGAATCACAGCATTGGTGTAAGGCAGCTTCTTCCAATCCTGATAGGAAATTGACCCTGAGAAGCCAAACACATCTTCAATCTCCTTCTGGACTTTTTCTAGAAAAATGATAGAAATAGAAGGTTTATTTTCAATATTATGTTTCCTTTATTTGTTTCCAAATTTTAATCCTCAATAGAACATTAGGACCTGGAATAGCATTTAGGGCATTAATTGTAATCATTTAATAGAATCATATGTCTGAGAGAGACTTTGGAGGTCTTATAGTCCAACCCCTGCTCAAGGCAGGAGCCTTTTATAATCCCTAGTCATGGAGCACCCACAACTTCCAGCGGTAAGACATTCCACTGATTAAGTTGTTCTTTCTGACAGGAAATTTTTCCTTACTTTGAGGTTGGATTTCTGTTAGATAAGCTTCTACATATTATGTCTTGTGCCTCTGATACCCTAGAGCAGGGGTCTTCAAACTTGGCCCTTTTATAACTTGTGAACTTCAACTCCCAGAATTCCTCAGCCAGTATCATGGTGACCAGAACTGGATGTGGTATTATGTGTTCTCACCATGACAATATAAGGTAAGACTATCATGTCAGCTGCCACCTTATGCTTACTTGTGCCTGGCTGCCATGCGATGACAGTCTTCCACAAATACTGGGGAGGATGGTTGGGAAAGGGAATGCTCGGGGGAAAATGAAAGTAACAACTGTATCTTTCCGAGATGCTGCCTCAAGGTCACCTGACTGGGAAAAGAAGGCAGCTGCTTACCAACCTAGGCTGGAACTGATCACTCTGAAAACATCTCACATGAACCTGGTTGGCCATGGGGAATCGTGGGAAGCAGGTAATGGAGGGAAAAGTTGAAATTAAGGATTTTGCTAAGATTCTCAGTTCTGGCTACGCATTATGGCAATACACTTGACAGCTAATAAAACTATACCTTTCTCAGAAAATGGAGCCAAGGATCATTTCTTTTTAGAGGTTTATATGGTGGCAGATCTGACAAATCACTTCTTCTTGTCTTGATGCTATTGCCTCTGTTCATGTAATCTAGGACTGCTTGGTTGCTTTGTGAGCTGCAGCACACTGCTGCCTCATACTTAAGTAGTGATCCAGTAGGACACCTAGATCCCTTTCACAGTTACTGTCACATCACTTGGGTCACAAAGGAAGGAGATGCAAAATTGAATATCATGGGAAAATTGATGGTGTTGGATGAAGATGTTTCATGAAGATGTTAAAAAGGAATGGAGAGTACGGAGCCCTGAGACACACTGAAAAGGAATAGCCGTGGGCTGGACCTCTCATACCCTATCACCACCAATTGGAACTGGCCTTGAAGAAAAGAGCTCAACTATGCAGCTGCCTTCTCTTCCCATTCGACTGACCTTGATTTTGACCGTGATTTAATTTCTTGGGAAATTAAAGCAGTTATTTTCATTTTCCCCCAAGTCTTCTCCCACCCAACCAACCTCCCCAGCACTGATGACAGACTGTCCTCACATGGTAGCGAGGCACAAGCAAGAGTAACGTGGCAGCTGACATGATAGTCCTACTTTACATGGTGGTGGTGAGACCACATTGAACTGTCCAGCCCCTATTCTTGCAGCAGGTAACCAAAGGCTCCAAGAGTCAAGAGGACCAAGGATGGATGTACCAACCTCATCCTGCTCCCCACAGACCTCATCTACAAGTTCAGCTAATCCTTTTGATGTCCCATAACCAGACCTGAAGCCTGACTGAAAGGGGTCCAGTTATTGTTTCATCTGGAGCTGCAGTACAACCACTTCCCCCCCCCACAATGCTAACATCCCTTCTATTCATGGTAGGGAGCCCCACATTGTACATCACTTCATGTCCGTCCTCTTGATTTTTTTCTATATTTATTATCCAACTGTAATTTGGTCTTCTGTATGCAATTTAAGATTTAAAAAGTAACATATCTAAAAATTTTGGTAAATTTCTGCATTTAAAGTGTGTTAAATGTTTCAGATTTGTACTGAGTTCCAGTTTTTACCTCCTCACTCAATATTTTATTGAGGATTCAAAGAAGAATCTCTGTATGTACCTTCTTGGCTTTCTTTTAAACTGTTAACTTCATGCTTCTGTTATAGGGTCAAGAAGCTACAAAGAATAGATTCAGTTCAATCATTCAGTATTTCAAATAATTTCTCTGTGTTTTAAAACCTGAGAGTGACTCTCGTTCCACCCACCCATGTCTGTCTCACCTTGGATATCAGGATGATTGGTCAAGAGGAGCAGTGCCCACATCAGAGTAGCCATGGTTGTGTCTGACCCAGCAAAAAAAAATTCCCAAATACACTGAACCAGGTTCTCTTCACTGTAGGTTGAATCGGGGTCATTCCTGCTCTGAAGTTTAAAATGGAAAATGAAAATTACAATAAATTCTATGCAACTCCATATTGCAAGTCGTGAGAATAAACCTCTCACCATTGCTCTTTATATTCAGTATGGGCAATATACCCAGATGTCTATCATTACAATATCCAATTACAATTACAATTTAGTGAATAAATAATTTAAAAAGCATGTCACCCCAGTCCTTCTCTTCATTAAATTAAATATACCCAATTCCAGCAACCGTTCCTTATATTTTTAGCCTCCAGTTCCCTAATCATCTTTGTTGCTGTTTTCTGCACTTTTTCTAGGGTCTCAACATCTTTTTGTTTCATGGTGACCAAAATTGGATGTAGTATTCCAAATGTGGTCTAAGCAGTGCAGCATAAAGCAGAACTAATACTTTACATACTCTTGATACCAAGGACCACATTGCTATCAAGAACCATAAGATCTACTGTACTTCTTTTCCATCCACAATGGTTCAGCGTTGTTCTTTATACTCAATATGAACACTGTAACCAAAAATTTACAATTATAACACTCACAGATGCTACTCTATACTGATGATATCATGATAGAGAGTGGAAAAATGAACCATCCTTGAACCATTCATACAGAGCATGCCTTAATGGTTTAGGAAAGGAGGCCAATATTAAGAAGGGTGTATATGTTGAATCTAGTAAACAGGCCAATGGTACACTCAAGACTGATAGTATACAATTGTAAACGAAGTGACCCAGTTCAAATCAATAAAAATTGCTTTAAAAAAAATCATTCTGGGTCTCTCTGAAAAGTTTGGAGAAGAGAAGCTATTTTCCTTCTTTCAAACTGTTTCACATTTTTACTTATTGTCAAGGCTGTGAAAATATCTGTACTTTTCCAATCATTTCATGGAAAGTACTCACTTAAGTATGAATTAATCAAAAGTCCCTGCTAATTGTTTTCCTTCTTAGTGGAACTTCTTTAGAAAAAAGGGGGAATGGTATGATACTGAAGAGGTACAATAGAGCTCTTACTGAGAAGCATCTGGGATGTATGTGGGAGGAAAGCATCACCCTCTCAGAGAAATAAATATTTAGGGAATATTAAAAAGCAGAATATATTTTCCCAAATGATCTTAAAAGCAGAAAAGAAGGCTCAGTTTTTCTTAATAGCCCCCAGTAGGTACTCAGGAAACCACCTTTTAGAAAGGCAGATGTGATAATCCTATTCAGAAAGCTTGGAGCCATGAAGCTAGAAGCTGATGATATTAGAAAAACAAAGACCCCTAAAATCTGCATACCCCACCACCAACAGAATACCAGAAAGGCACACTGAAGCTCAAGTCAAAGGTCATGCCACACTAACAGGAAACAACCTCAAAAATCCAAGAAGGTATAAAAACCCACCACTCCCAGCTACATGTGGTCAGCTGCTCTAAAGCCTCATGGTTCTGCTCTTCAATAAACTACAACTTTCCTTCTAAAGCCGTCTCTATTTTGTTTATTCCCAGCTTGGACTGAACCCTGATGGAGATTTTTCTTTCAATATTTAGGTTGGATTAAATTCAGAATGGGAGCTGAATAAAAAAAATACCTCCAAGAAAAACAAACTCGTAGCACCTCTTGTTTACCTATAGTAAGGAATGTAATAATTGCTTGCCCATATATTGAAGTACAGTAAATCCATACCTTCTCCATTTGAAGAAGATAGTAATCAATGAAATCCTGTGGCTCATGCAAAGCGTGAAATTCCTTGTGTTTCTCTATTTCCTGCTTTGCAAAGGAAAGGATAAAGTCCCTAGAAGCCAGGGCTTTCTGGTGAGGGCCTGGGAGGTAGTTCATTAATTGTGGGAACTCATGATAAATCTAATAAAAATAGAAGATGTGATGTTATCTATTTATATCCTACCAGACTTACAGAAGATTCTCAACACTTCACTCTCAACTTACAATGTGATATATTTATTTTATTTATGTGTTTAAAAATAAAAGATTTGTTGTTCTTAATTTTATTGTTGTTAATTGCGAAGTCATGTCCGACCCATCACGACCCCATGGACAACGCTTCTCCAGGCCCTCCTGTCCTCCACCATCCTCTGGAGTCCATTTAAGCTCACGCCTACTGCTTCAGTGACTCCATCCAGCGACCTCATTCTCTGTCGTCCCCTTCTTCTATTGCCCTCAATCTTTCCCAGCATTAGGCTCTTCTCCAGTGAGTCCTTCCTTCTCATTAGGTGGCCAAAGTATTTGAGTTTCAACTTCAGGATCTGGCCTTCTAAAGAGCAGTCAGGGTTGACCTCTTCTAGGACTGACCGGTTTGATCGCCTTGCAGTCCTGGGGACTTGCAGGAGTCTTCTCCAGCACCATAGTTCAAAGGCCTCAATTCTTTGTCTCTCAGCCTTTCTTATGGTCCAGCCATACATTGCAGCTGGGAAAACCATGGCCTCGACTATACCTAAACTTTTGTTGGCAGGATGATGTCTCTGCTTTTTAGTATGCTGTCTAGATTTGCCATAGCTTTCCTCCCCAGGAGCAAGCATCTTTTAATTTCTTGGCTGCAGTCCCCATCTGAGGTGATCTCGGAGCCCAGGAAAATAAAATCTGTCACTACCTCCATTTCTTCCCCATCTATTTGCCAGGAATTGAGAGGGCCGGATGCCATGATTTTGGTTTTCTTAATGTTGAGTTTCAAGCTAACTTTTGCACTCTCCTTCTGCACCCGCATCAAGAGGCTCTTTGGTTCCTCTTCACTTTCTGCCATTAGAGTGGTATCATCTGCATATCTTAGGTTGTTGATATTTCTCCTGGCAATCTTAATTCCAACTTTTGATTCATCTAGCCCTGCCCTTCTCACGATGTACTCTGCACATAAGTTAAATAGGCAGGGCAACAATATACAGCCTTGCCGGATTCCTTTCCCAATTTTGAACCAATCAGTGGTTCCGTGTCCAGTTCTCACTGTTGCTTCTTAACCCACATATAGGTTTCTTAAGAAACAAATAAGATGGTCTGGAACTCCCATCTCTTTATGAACTTGCCACAATTTGTTGTGATCCACACAATCAAAGGCTTTAACATAGTCAATGAAGCAGAAGTAGATGTTTTTTCTGAAACTCCCTAGCTTTCTCCATGATCCAGCGTATGTTGGTAATTTGATCTCTAGTTCCTCTGCCTCTTCAAAATCCTGCCTGTACTTCTGGTAGTTCTCAATCCACGTACTGCTGGAGTCTAGCTTGTAGGATTTTAAGCATAACTTTACTAGCATTTGAAATGAGTGCAATGGTGCGATAGTTTGAACATTCTTTGGCATTGCCTTTCTTTGGAATTGGAATATAAACTGACCTTTTCCAATCCTGTGGCCACTGTTGAGTTTTCAAAATTTGCTGGCAAATTGAGTGTAGCACTTTTACTGCATCGTCTTTTAAGAGTTCTTCTATGTCGTTTTGCCACCTCTTCTTAATCTCTTCTGCCTCTGTTAGGTCTCTGCCATTATGGTCCTTCATCATGCCCATCTTTGCATGAAATGTTCCCTTCATATTTCCAATTTTCTTGAAGAGATCTCTGGTCCTCCCTATTCTTTTGTTTTCTTCTATTTCTTTGCACTGTTCATTTAAGAAGGTATTCTTATCTCTTCTAGCTATTCTCTGGAATTCTGAATTCAATTGGGTGTATCTTTCTCTTTCTCCTTTGCCTTTCGCTTCCCTTCTTTCTTCAGCTGTTTGCAAAGCTTCCTCAGACAGCTATTTTGCTTTCTTGCATTTCTTTTTCTTTGGGATGGTTTTAGTTGCTACCTCTTGTACAATGTTGCGAACCTCTGTCCATAGTTCTTCAGACACTCTGTCTATCAGATCTAATTTCTTAAATCTATTTGTCACCTCTACTGTATATTCATCAGTAATATGATTTAGTTCATACCTGAGTGGCCTAGTGCTTTTCCCTACTTTCTTCAATTTAAGCCTAAATTTTGCAATGAGAAGCTCATGATCTGAGCCACAGTCAGCTCCTGGTCTTGTTTTTACTGTCTGTATAGAGCTTCTCCATCTTTGGCTGCAGAGCACATAGTCAATCTGATTTCTGGGTTGACCGTCTGGTGATATCCATGTGTAGAACCGTCTCTTGGGTTGTTGGAAAAGAGTGTTTGTTATGACCATCATATTCTCTTGACAAAATTCTATCAGCCTGTGCCCTGCTTCATTTTGTACTCCAAGACCAAACTTGCCAGTTATTCTGATTATCTTTTGGCTTCCTACTTTAGCATTCCAATCCCCCATGATGATAAGGACATCATTTTTTGGTGTTAATTCTATAAGGTGCTGTAGGGCTTCATAGAACCACTCAATTTCATCCCCTTCAGCACCAGTGGTTGGGGCATAGATTTAGACTACTGTGATATTGAATGGTTTCCCTTGGATTCGAACTGAGATCATTCTGTCATTTTGGGGATTGTATCCCAGTATTCCTTTTCCTATTCTTTTATTGACTATGAAGGCTACTCCATTTCTTCTGAGGGATTCTTGCCCGCAATAGTATACCTGATGGTCATCTGAGTTAAATTCACCCATTCCTGTCCATTTTAGTTCGCTGATTCCTAATATGTCAATGTTCAGTCTTGTCATCTCTTGTTTGACTACGTCTAGCTTGCCTTGATTCATGGATTTTACATTCCAGGTTCCTATGGAGAAAAGATCTTTACAGCATCAGACTTTCCTTTAACCACCAGATATATCCACAGCTGAGCATCCTTTCGGCTTTGGCTCAGTCGCTTCATTCTTTTTGGCACTACTAGTACTAGCCCTCTGCTCTTCCCCAGCAGCATATTGGACACCTTCCGACCTGAGGGGCTCATCTTCCAGTGTCATATCTTTTTGCCTTTTAGTACTGTCCATGGGGTTTTCATGGCAAAGATACTGGAGTGGTTTGCCATTTCCTTCTCCAGTGGATCACATTTTGTCAGAACTTTCTGCAATGACCTGTCCATCTTGGGTGGCCCTGCATGGCATAGCTCATAGCTTCATTGAGTTATGAAAGCACCTTTGCCATGACAAGGCAGTAATCCATAAAGGTCTCAACATTTTAACAAATGTTCTACTGGCTATACAGGGCATATAAATAGCTGCTCCAGATAGTAGTTTTAAACTCTTGGTTTGGGAAGCTTTGTCTATTTAATAGAAAACATGACTTACCACGTGGAAAATGTTACCAGTGAAATTAATAACAAAATTAAGGGCTTGAATTAACTTCTGGAAGTTTTCATCTTCAGGAGCAAATGGATGTCCAAAACTCAAAGCAGATATGATGTTAGAAACTGCATTTCGGACAGGAAATGAAGGGTCAAATGGCTGTCCTGCGAATGAAGATATTTTATAATGAATTTTTAAGGAACAAGACTTCTAAGTGGATGAAGGAAGACAACTGGGGACCAATTCTTTCAAAAATAGAAAAATCAAATCAAATGCATTGCTTTTATTCAAAATACCCAGAATGAAAAAGATTTCTGCAGACAGGGACTTGAGCCATTATGATAACCCCAAATTGCATACCTTTTGTTTGTCTAAAGGCCTCTACCAATGTCTGAGCAGCATCTTCTATTTGGTGCTCAATGCTTTTCTTTCCCAGGCCCAGCTTCCGCAGAGAAGTGATGCCAAAGTGTCTCTGCTGTTTCCAGGTGTGGCCACTGGAAAAAATAATTCCTGTGGGCATCATCAGACAATGATAAATGATTCCTGATAACGTTCATGTTAAAAAAAAATCAGTTAGGTCTAGTTTTTGCAAAATCTCTCTCTGGATTTCTGCTGAGAATACCAAATAAGTGAACAAAATGTTATAAGAAAAGCTTAGCCAACATGTGACAGTCTTTACTTGACATATTTATGTAGTATAAAAAAGCAACCAATTTTTTAATTTAAAAAACAACTTCAAATTAAGGAACTGGAGAATAATATATTTCAAAGATAAGTGCAAGGTCCAAGGGTACAAAATAACATAACAAGCAAAGTAATAGTTTTAGTAGGTATAAACAAATTAAGAAAATGTCTAAAGAAGTGCATGAAATTGTTGATAGTCCTTATGAAATTGATAAATGTCCAGCATTCTTGTATTTAAAAAAAAGACTCAAAATAATCTTCTGGATATTAGACCATGTACGGCTGATCTTTAGGATGAAAAATTTGAATGAAGGGTCTCAGAAATAACAATATAGCTTCATTGCCACATGACAGAATAATTAATTTCTGGGCTTTATTAATAACACAAGGAAATCAGCTATAGTCTTTATGAAATCATGCCATAAAGTAGAAAAACTGAGGATATATTAAGTTTGCTGATTCCCACTTGAGGGAAAATATTCTTAGAAAAGTTCATGAACTCAAAGAGATAAATCAGGAAGATACAGAACTGCAGTTTTATCAAGATATTAGTAAGTTATATGATGAAAAAGGAGCACTTTCTAAACCCCAAGGAACCAATTGATTTAATTTAGAATTCACTATAAATTTGGATTCTTCTTAAATTAATTACATATCAGTTAGAAAATGTTATGACATTGTTGATAGTCTATATAAATTGAATAGTGGCATAAGAATTGTAGCAAATGAACATATTAATTTTAGAATATCTATATCTACAAATATTCGCCACTGTAGCATAACTACGAGGGCAATTTGGAAATAAATCTCCACTTCGTTATGAATGACAGACACTCACAGACAGAGAACTTTTATTATATACATTAGAAAACTACAACATTACATTATTTTTTTGACATGATCACCATTCAAATTAGGCACTTGTCATAATGTTTTCCAAGGTTTGAAATGAAGAGGTGATAGTCACTCAGCACCAAATCTGGGTTCTGCTTTGGATTTTCTCACGCATTATGCCGAGGAAGGAGAACAACTTCTTAACAGAATTGTGACCGGCAATGAGACCTGGGTATTGTATGTCAATCACAAAAGCAAACATCAATCAATGGTGTGATGTCATACTCACTCACCAAGGAAACCCCAAAAAGCTTGGCAAACATTGCCAGAAAGGTTATGGCAACAGTATTCTGGGATGCCAAAAGAGTACATCTAGTGAAGTTCATGGAGCGTGGGTTGACCATCAGTTCAGACGTCAATGAAAACTCAGAGGAGCCATCCATAACAAGCGTTGGGGCCTGCTGACTTCTGGTGTGGTGTTGGTTCAAGACAAGGCTCACCCGCACACCGCTAGATGCACCCAAGAACTTTTGAAGCAGTTTCATTGGGATGTTTATGATCAGCCTTCCCCATAGTCCAGATTTGGTGCCAAGTGACTATTACTAAGGAATTTCAAACCTTGTAAGATGTTATGACAAGTGCCTCAATTTGAACGGTGATTATGTCAAAAAATATGTAATATTGTAGTTTTCTTATGTGTATAATAAAAGTTCTGTATCTGCGAGTGTCTGTCATTGATAACCAAATTGAGGTTATCTATCATCATCTATCATTGTCTCTGTATTCTATTCCTTCCTTCCTTCCTTCCTTCCTTCCTTCCTTCCTTCCTTCCTTCCTTCCTTCCTTCCTTCCTTCCTTCCTTCCTCCCTTCCTTCCTTTCAACAGGATCCAGTTTTGTGGAAGACAATTTTTCTGTGCGCCGAGGGGGAGGGATGGTTTCGCGCACAACCTAGATCTCACCTATGCGCAAATAAAGCTTCACTTGCTCGCCTGCTGTTTGTGTGGCCCAGTTCCCAACAGGTCATGGAGTAGTACCAGTCCACAGCCCAGAAGCCAGATCACTACTAAAGATGAATTCATAAAATTATGCAAATTTTGCTTTTCTATGCAAAGCCTTTGGAATAGCCTTGCACCGATTTGCTCACTTCCTACTTGCTTTAATATCTATGAAGTATTTAATGAAAAAGAAGTAATGTCTAAATCAACGCATGAATGTAACAAACCAGATAGAAAGCTATGGAGATATATAATAACTTGGTCTAAAGTAAAGTAAGCAATCTTTCTTTTGCCTATCAATCATTTTGTTTACTATGCCTTCCCCCATGCTATGAATTATATTACCACAAATTATAACAGTGTGATGCTTATTTACGTACAGTTTCTTACTACTTGCACTTACCCCTTTCTTTCCCTAAAGGAGCCATTAAAGGATCGTCTGGTCGGTCAGAAAATTCTTCTGCGAAGCTGATCAATCCTTCTTTCACAGTTTTGAATCCAGATAGAAATACTAGAAGGTTAGGTCCAGCCCTCAAAGTAGATATATTTCCATATCGCTTTACATGCTGCGAAATGAATCTATGTTGAGCAATGTTATAATCAAATGAAATAGATTATTTACAGTTAATATGCCACCTACAGTCTTTCTTAAATTCTTACCTTGTTTCCCCGAAGATTAGACCAAGCCCGATAATACGCCCTTGCTTGATTTTTAGGGGTGGGCATAATATAAGCCCTACACCAAAACTAAGCCCTACTTTTGGGGTGAGGCGCACCCTAAAAATCAAGCTAGGGCAGGAGTGGGCAGGGTGAACCTGCTTACCTTATCGGTAGGACCACCATAACCGGGGGTCCCACACCCCAACACCTGTTCCACTGGTACTTGACTTCTTCAGCCGCTTACTGCCACTTGTGGACGGACGCCATGTGGTGCACTGTGCTATTGCTGCTCCTCCCGGCAGGATGCTGCATGGCACTTAGGGCATTTCTGCTGCAGAAACGGGAGGAGTAGAAATGGCGCAAAGCACCATGCGGCAGTTCTGGCCACTTCCACGGCTTGCGTAGTGCTTCTGCCTGCTTCTGCTGCTTGCGCAGCACTTCAGGCTGTTTCCACTGCTTGCACAGTGCTTCAGGAAGCTTCTGTTGCTCGCATGCTTTGGATTGCTTCTGCTCCTTGCACAGCACTTCGGACCACTTCTGCTGCTTGTGTGCTTTGGGACGCTTCCTCTGCTTGTGCAGCACTTTGAGATGTTTCCGCTACTGGTGCAGTGATTTGGGATGCTTCTGTTGCTCACACACTTCAGGCTGCTTCTGTTGCTTGCGGGCTTCAGGTTGCTTATTTTGCCTACAGCAGGAGGCCACATGGCACTTCAGGCATTTCTGCTGCAGAAACGGGAGGAGTAGAAATGGCGCAAAGCACCATGCGGCATCCTATTGGGAGGAGCGGCAACAGCGCAATGCACCATATGGCATCCAGCCGCAAGTGGTGGCAAGCGGCTGCAGAAGAAGTCAAGTATGGCACAACAGGTGTCGGGACATTGGAAACCTGGCTGTGGTGGTCCTAAAGTAAGACATTTTCCGAAATTAAGACCTAGTGCCTCTTTTGGAGGCAAAAAATACACAAGACCGGGACTTAATTTCAGGGAAACACGGTAATTCTAAGACATATGGAAGTTGCATCTTGGCAAATAGGCTTCTTTTCTTGATGGTTCAAAACATTTTACTGCTTTTCCAAGTACTTCAGGTATGTCAAACTCATGACGTCACATGACATCACACAACGTATCGCGACTTTTTCCTCATTCTCAGCAATGGTGTAGGAGTCATTTCGGGATAATGTGTTCGGCCTATGGGCCGGCAGCTTGACATGCCTGAAGTACTTCTTCAGTTTGAGCAAGTTGGTTAAGGGAACCCCATATATGTCCTCCAGAGAAGTTCCATTTCTCACCTAATCTGAAAAGGCCTATTCAGTCTTTGAGATACAACTCCTAAAACATTTACTCCGGGTGGGTCCTTCAGTGTCACCTCCCTGGTAAATGTATGAATGATCTGAATCTTCCTTGGACTGGTGAAAGAACAGCAATATTATTCTTCTCTCTATTACTGTTGCTTGGAGATACAATTGTTGTTGTTCTTAACTGCGAAGTCGTATCCGACCCATTGCGACCCCATGGAAAATGTTCCTCCAGATCTTCCTGTCCTCTTTTGGAGTCCATTTAAGTTCACACCTACTGCTTCAATGACTCCATCCAGCCACCTCATTCTCTGTTGTCCCCTTCTTCTATTGCCCTCAATCTTTCCCAGCATTAGGCCCTTCTCCAGTAAGTCCTTCCTTCTCATTAGGTGGCCAAAATATTTGAGTTTCAACTTCAGGATCTGGCCTTCTAAAGAGCTGTCGGGGTTGATTTCTTCTAGGACTGACTGGTTTGAACGCCTTGGAGTTCAAGGGACTCGCAGGAGTCTTCTCCAGCACCACAGTTCAAAGGCCTCAATTCTTTGTCTCTCAGCTTTTCTTATGGTCCAACTTTCACATCCATACATTGCAACTGGGAAAACCATGGCCTTGACTATATGCACTTTTGTTGGCAGGGTGATGTCTCTGCTTTTTAATATGCTGTCTAGATTTGCCATAGCTTTCCTCCCCAGGAGCAAGCATCTTTTAATTTCTTGTCTGCAGTCCCCATCTGAGGTGATCTTGGAGCCTAGGAAAATAAAATCTGTCACTACCTCCATTTCTTCCCCATCTATTTGCCAGAAAATTGAGAGGGCCGGATGCCCTCTCAATATTATTTCTTAATATTGAGTTTCAAGCCAATTTTTGCACTCTCCTTAGAATCTTGATGTTTCTGTATTATTTTAGGATCCCAAAATAATTTTACAGGATTCAGCCACTTAAAAAGAATCTGCTACTACTTCTTGAATGTTATGGTTCTTTAACCTAGGACCTTTCATCCTTTTCATAGACTGTACCACCTGTAGGACATGACAATATTCAAGTACCACCAGTGGCTTAGCAAGGTGTAAAAAAAACCTAACAACAAAAAAAGGAAAAAAGTGATAAAATACACCGGAAGCTCCAATTACCATGTCACCACATGCACCGATCCTGGGGATTCTGCCAAGCTCTGGAGCTCCAACTGATCTCCTCAAGGTCTGTGAGGTACCGCTTTAGCTGTTCCCCCCTGCTACACCTGGCTAGGGCTCACGTACCACCAGCCAGGTGCTAAAGTACCACTGGTGGTACCTGCACCCCGGTTGAAAAGCCTTGCTTTAACCTACATGGTGGCACAGTAGTTAGAATGCAGTACTGCAGGCTACATCTGCTGACTGCTGGCTGCCTGCAGTTTGGCAGTTCAGTTCTCACTGGCTCAAGGTCGACTAAACCTTCCATCCTTCCATTTATCCAAGGTGGATAAAATGAGGACCCAGATTGTTTGGGACAAATATGCTGACTCTGTAAACCACTTAGAGAGGACTGTAAACCACCGTGAAGTGGTATATAAGTCTAAGTGCTACTGTGATTGCTATTTCTATCTTGAATCGGATGATATTTTACCTCTGATTTTTTTTTGATGAAATCGTGGAATCCAGAAGAAGAATATAGAAAATACTATTTAGAAGTGTTGTTTCAACTTGATTAAGCACACAATTCTATTAGAGGAATATTACCATAGTATATTTTCACCAACAGTAGTGCCCAAGTCAATAAAACTCCCCCTCACAGTGTTCCTTCAAAGTTATTTCTGAATGCTAAAATTTAGGTATCTTACATTGCTTAAACATTTGGTGCAGGATAATGTGCCAGAAGTGGAGAGGTAGTTCAATGAAACTTTATAAGCACCAATATCTAGGTCTTCCTATAATATGTGTATATCTTCTTTGTGCTTGTAAAATGACTGCACAAGAACCTGTTATATTGCTTCTGTCGCCAACCACCTACATATGAATCATTATCTAAAACAGATTCTACTCTTCAGAATTCAGATCCAGAAAATTTTTGAAATCATTATAGAACTGCAGAATTAGAAGGGGCCATTTAGTTTACCAAGTTCCACCCATTATCCCCCCTTTATGGATTACTGCCTTGTCGTGGCGAAGGGCCTTGCGTAACTCAATGAAGCTATAAGCTATGCCGTGCAGGGCCACCCAAGACGGACAGGTTATAGCAGAGAGTTCTGACAAAATGTGATCCACTGGAGAAGGAAATGGCAAACCACTCCAGTATCTTTGCCATGAAAACCCCATGGACAGTACTAAAAGGAAAAAAGATATGACGCTGGAAGATGAGCCCCTCAGGTCGGAAGGTGTCCAATATGCTACTGGGGAAGAGCAGAGGGCTAGTACTAGTAGCGCCAGAAAGAGTGAAGCGACTGGGCCAAAGCCGAAAGGACGCTCAGCTGTGGATATATCTGGTGGTGAAAGGAAAGTCCGATGCTGTAAAGATTTTTTCTCCATAGGAACCTGGAATGTAAGATCCATGAATCAAGGCAAGCTAGACGTAGTCAAAAAAGAGATGACAAGACTGAACATCGACATCTTAGGAATCAGCGAACTAAAATGGACAGGAATGGGTGAATTTAACTCAGATGACCATCAGGTATACTACTGTGGGCAAGAATCCCTCAGAAGAAATGGAGTAGCCTTCATAGTCAATAAAAGAATAGGAAAAGCAATACTGGGATACAATCCCCAAAATGACAGAATGATCTCAATTCGAATCCAAGGCAAACCATTCAATATCACAGTAGTCCAAATCTATGCCCCAACCACTGGTGCTGAAGAGGATGAAATTGACCGGTTCTATGAAGCCCTACAGCACCTTATAGAATTAACACCAAAAAATGATGTCCTTATCATCATGGGGGATTGGAATGCTAAGGTAGGAAGCCAAAAGATAACCGGAATAACAGGCAAGTTTGGCCTTGGAGTACAAAATGAAGCAGGGCACAGGCTAATAGAATTTTGTCAAGAGAATACGATGGTCATAACAAACACTCTTTTCCAACAACCCAAGAGACGGCTCTACACATGGACATCACCAGACGGTCAACATAGAAATCAGATTGACTATGTGCTCTGCAGCCAAAGATGGAGAAGCTCTATACAGTCAGTAAAAACAAGACCAGGAGCTGACTGTGGCTCAGATCATGAGCTTCTCGTTGCAAAATTTAGGCTTAAATTGAAAAAAGTAGGGAAAAGCACTAGGCCACTCAGGTATGAACTAAATCATATTCCTGATGAATATACAGTAGAGGTGACAAATAGATTTAAGGAATTAGATCTGATAGACAGAGTGCCTGAAGAACTATGGATGGAAGTTCGCAACATTGTACAAGAGGTAGCAACTAAAACCATCCCAAAGAAAAAGAAATGCAAGAAAGCAAAATGGCTGTCTGAGGAAGCTTTGCAAATAGCTGAGGAAAGAAGGGAAGCGAAAGGCAAAGGAGAAAGAGAAAGATACACCCAATTGAATACAGAATTCCAGAGAGTAGCTAGAAGAGATAAGAATGCCTTCTTAAATGAACAGTGCAAAGAAATAGAAGAAAACAACAGAATAGGGAGGACCAGAGATCTCTTCAAGAAAATTGGAGATATGAAGGGAACGTTTCATGCAAAGATGGGCATGATAAAGGACCAAAATGGCAGAGACCTAACAGAGGCAGAAGAGATTAAGAAGAGATGGCAAAACTACACAGAAGAACTATACAAGAATGAGCTTAACATCCCAGATAACCACAATGAGATGGTCACTGACCTCGAACCAGACATCCTAGAATGTGAAGTGAAATGGGCCTTAGAAAATCTGAGCAACAACAAAGCTAGTGGAGGTGACAGTATTCCAGCTGAGCTATTCAAAATCTTAAAAGACGATGCAGTAAAAGTGCTACACTCAATTTGCCAGCAAATTTGGAAAACTCAACAGTGGCCACAGGATTGGAAAAGGTCAGTTTACATTCCAATTCCAAAGAAAGGCAATGCCAAAGAATGTTCAAACTATCGCACCATTGCACTCATTTCACATGCTAGTAAAGTTATGCTTAAAATCCTACAAGCTAGACTCCAGCAGTATGTGGATCGAGAACTACCAGAAGTACAGGCAGGATTTCGAAGAGGCAGAGGAACCAGAGATCAAATTGCCAACATACGCTGGATCATGGAGAAAGCTAGGGAGTTCCAGAAAAACATCTACTTCTGCTTCATTGACTATGCAAAAGCCTTTGATTGTGTGGATCACAACAAATTGTGGCAAGTTCTTAAAGAGATGGGAGTACCAGACCATCTCATCTGTCTCTTGAGAAACCTATATGCGGGTCAAGAAGCAACAGTGAGAACCGAACACGGAACCACTGATTGGTTCAAAATTGGAAAAGGAGTCCGGCAAGGCTGTATACTATCACCCTGCCTATTTAACTTATATGCAGAGCACATCATGAGAAAGGCAGGGCTAGATGAATCAAAAGTTGGAATTAAGATTGCCGGGAGAAATATCAACAACCTAAGATATGCAGATGATACCACTCTAATGGCAGAAAGTGAAGAGGAACTAAAGAGCCTCTTGATGCGGGTGAAGAAGGAGAGTGCAAAAGTTGGCTTGAAACTCAACATTAAGAAAACCAAAATCATGGCATCCGGCCCTCTCAATTCCTGGCAAATAGATGGGGAAGAAATGGAGGTAGTGACAGATTTTATTTTTCTGGGCTCCAAGATAACCTCAGATGGGGACTGCAGCCAAGAAATTAAAAGACGCTTGCTCCTGGGGAGGAAAGCTATGGCAAATCTAGACAGCATTCTAAAAAGCAGAGACATCACCCTGCCAACAAAAGTGCGTATAGTCCAGGCCATGGTTTTCCCAGTTGCAATGTATGGCTGTGAAAGTTGGACCATAAGAAAGGCTGAGCGCAAAGAATTGAGGCCTTTGAACTATGGTGCTGGAGAAGACTCCTGCGAGTCCCTTGGACTGCAAGGCGTTCAAACCGGTCAGTCCTAGAAGAGATCAACCCCGACTGCTCTTTAGAAGGCCAGATCCTGAAGTTGAAACTCAAGTACTTTGGCCACCTAATGAGAAGGAAGGATTCACTGGAGAAGAGCCTAATGCTGGGAAAGATTGAGGGCAATAGAAGAAGGGGACGACAGAGAATGAGATGGCTGGATGGAGTCACTGAAGCAGTAGGTGTGAATTTAAATGGACTCCAGAAGATGGTAGAGGACAGGAAGACCTGGAGGAACATTGTCCATGGGGTCGCGACGGGTCGGACACGACTTCGCAATTAACAACAACACCCATTATCCATTGCAAGAATATAAAATGAAGCATCTTCAACAAAGGAATTTCTAGTCTCATTTGAGCAGAGTGAAGGGGAAACCACCCTCTCTCTGGTGGATTTATTCCAATTATTAAAGGTTTCTTGGTAAGATTGAATTAGAATCTGCCTTCTAAAAATTCAACCCCATTATTTCACATCCTGCCCTGTAAAATGTTAGTGAGCAGGTCATGGCTTGAATATTTTGCCATAATGTGGAAAATAACTCTCCAAGTGCAATTATTATCATTTGTTTAATTAAATTACTCATCATGCAAGAATATTTTACTAAGCTAATATATTTTTCTGCAATAATGGTACAAAGAAAACCATCGAGAATTATTTTGCATAATGCTGCTTATTTAGAATGAAATACCTTAGGGATATAATCTTCATGAAGCCAAATCCCATAAGCTCCCAAGGTCCCAATGAGAGGTAGAGCCAAAGGACCGGGAGGCAAATGTCTTTGAGTCCAGAGTTGTCTCAGGAAGAGGAGAATCAGCAGAGCAAGCAGCAAAACAAACAAAAATGTTCCCATCGCCATCATCGTCCTGCTGGTTCTTTTTCTTTGATGCTCTCTAGTTGATCCGGAGTTGACTGTTTCCTTTTACCTGAAGTTTTTTGCTTTTCTTCCTTCCTCCATTGATGGGAAAAGAATAGCAATATGTCTTTTAATGCTGTGCATGATTAGTGTTTGTACTTTGTGAACAAGATATTATCACAATAATTGACATTAATTAGGTCACCTCTGATCATGTGCCATTTAATTAACAGTTTCAGGCAAATGCAAACAATCAATCTTGCAAAATACTATACCTACAAAAGAATAAAAATCAGAGCAATTCCCAAAGTAATTACAAACAATACAGTACAGGACTATAAAGTAACAAAAAAGAATATTTTAAAATACTTACAGAAATAATTCTAGCTCTCTACAAGCCCAGCAAGCAGCAGATCTTCCACACGGAGCTCCAGGAAAACAAGAACAAATAGACCTGCCAGCTGCAAAAAATCTTGCTTCGCCGTGTCATCAGGTACACACACACACATGCACACAAAAACACTTCCGGCTTCTCATAGGCCCGAACCAGCCCAGGCAAATCACAGAGTTAAAATGCCTGCCGCAGCAGCCGAGACTGAATCCAAGTCACATGGCTACAGAGGCCTATTTTTGAATGCAGTTTTGAATTTTTAATGTAAGTGCCCTTTCTGAATAACCTCGTTTTTATGACATATTGCTAAATAAATGCTCATATCTGGGGGATTAACTGTATTTTGTCTACAAAGCTAGAAGTTGGCTAGATGCCCTGTCATAGTTTGAAGTTTAAACCCTTTGATGTTTGATGTTCCTGACCTTCACAGTCCTGTCGATTATAGCTGAAAAGAGAAGGCTTTCTCTGGGCTGCTTTTTTTTTTCTGTTCTGCAGGATGAATTATAACTAAAGGATATAAACTATTTTGAAACCATCTTTTTTTTCTTTGGATTATAAGTACGGTTTGAACTACGTTTCTACAAGCTGCTTAAAGACAGAGTTAGTGTGGATTATAAATTCTTAATGTTGGACTGGAGAACTATTTATGGACAGTGGAAACTGAAATAGTGAAAAATCTCTTGGAGAAGGCCTATGGACTACTAATTTGAATAGCAGGTCTTGGTGGATTATAAATTTTGACTGAGGGACAGCTTTGCATCCAGAACAGTTGTCTTTGGAAGTGAGCCTTCTCCCTTTGGATTATAAATATTGTTTGAATTGTGACTCTTACAACTACTTAACAATAGACTGAGCAAAAGAACTTCTGCTAGCAAGATTATTTGGACTAAATTTTGGCAGAGGGGTAACGTTAATTTTTTTTTCCTCTTCACATATCAGATTTGTCAAAAGATCCATAAGAGATGAGATTTTGAAAGAGTGAGAGATGATCCTTTGCAATATATATATATATATATATATATATATATATATATATATATATATATATATATATATATGGAATTCCATGACAACCACAGAGCTTTCATGGAAGGGAAAAGTACGGAACCCCGTCCAGAGAGAGAAACAAAGAGACAGGAAGAAATGGCCAAGGAAAGAGAAGCCAAGCCAAGGGAAGAAGAAGAAATTGAAAATAAATAAATCCACAATACAGTTCTGGAAGTCAGTATTTATGTTCAAAATTCAGACAGGCCAAGTTTAAAATGTTTATCATCTCTGCCACATAGGTAAGCAGCCCCCAAGCCTGTTCCTTTGTTTTCTCAACTGTAATTTTCAATAGTAAAATAATTCCAAGGTCAGTCAAAACCTTATCTAATTCTGGGCTTCAAGCCAGATTTCTTTTAGGCACAAATAAGTTGTAGTGCCATAATTCACCACTGGATGTCATCAATGCCACTTTCTGGTTTTTAAATCCAAAACATATTGTTAAATTTTTCAAGTCTTTTTCTTTAGAAGAAATAAAAATAAAAAAGGTCTTAAAAACACTTTTAGTCCCCAAATTTTCAAACTGTAAGTATATTTTAGTTCCAGTTGAGTCTTATAGGTTCGCCAGTATCCCCAAGTATTAATTTGTCGCTTTTCTTTTCTGAGGGAGTGGGGCAAAAATTCCCTTTCCCTCTTTCATTCGGGGAAGTGTTTTGGGCAGCTTTTCAGGAAGAGGCTTCAAGATCATAAAGAAAGGATCAGGTCTCACCCAGTTTCATCCACGTTGCTGTAAAAACGCTTAGTAGTGTTTGCTGACTTACATAGTCAACAGCTTAGGGCTGGCTACACGAATGCAGCCAGTCTTTCCCATGCCAGTTTGGAGGGCTTCCTCGGATCAAACAGGGGGCTACCATCCCTCCCACACGATCAACAAACTTCCACTCCTCACTTGCCACCTCTATGGGGTGACTTTCGACCCTTTCCAGCGTCCCCCTGCAGGGGGAAACCAGATGGAGCCCCGTCCTCGAGCATTTGCATTGTCGGGAAATCCCAACAGAAAGTCCTGGAATTTGCTTGTTAATGGGCTTTTTAAAACATTAATATCCTTCAGAAGGGCAAGTTTGATTACACTATCTGAGTTTCCTTTAATGCATGGCTAATAAAGATTTATGAAAGTATAAAATCTTTAAAAATTCTTATGTTGGAATAAACAGCACAGGAGTGATTAGAACCTTCATTTTGGAAAGTGATAAACAAACTAAGGGACCAGACAGACTTGATTTTTTTAAAAAAAATATGAAGATTTTGAAATTAATTATAAGAAATCTTTCCATAAAAAAGGTATTGATTAGGTACCTTTTCCATAAAAAAAAGGTATTGATAAAGTGGGAGTTCAAAAATTGGATACTAATGGGAACCAGAAAGAACTAAATACCTTGGTACTCAACTGCTTGGAAACTCATCGAATTTGGTACTCAATGAATTTTGATGCAATAATTTTGTCCTGGTAGTCATTGTTTGTTTGGTACTCAATGCAGAAGCTAGAACCTGTTGGTGTTCACTGCCTCGTGACTCACTACATTATTCCTTATGGGAAAATTTTCATTGGTATTCGTCATTTTTTGTACTGATTGCACCCCCTAGAACCAATAAACAATGAGTCCTGAGGTACCACTATATTATAATTAAAGGAGAAGAGACTCAGCCATCTTGGCTGATTGAGGAATTCTGGGAGTTGAAGTCCACAGTTCTTAAAGTTGCTAAGACCCTTGAGCTAGCTGATTGGCCCTTCTTCCTCTCTCCCTCTCCTCTTTTTCCTCCCTGCCTTCTGAGCTCTCCTTCCACAGTGTAGTAAGAATGCGCGCGCACACACACACACACACACACACACACAAAACACACACACAAGTCCCTTCCTTGTACCCTTAAAGATACAGGAATCAAGTACAAAGCAAGAAAGGCTCACAAAAGCCTCCCAGAATAAAGAAACACTAAACTCTAGGGTTTTTTTTCTTTAAGCTTCCTCAGGCATGTCTAAGTTTAAACAATGTAGCAAAGACCCGACAATTGCGAAAAGTGATAACCTTAAATTAGGCCTGTTTACCTACAAAGAAAACTTGCTAAAAGCCATAGACAGACTCAAGATAAGGGGGTAAAACTAATTACATTTGTTTAAAGGGATTAAACCTACAGAAGTCAACACTTCGGACTTATTGCTAGCCTTTATGAAACACACTAAAATATTCCAATAACCAAAGCATACAAACTGAGCCTCTGAATTACAAAATGCTGTAAAAACTGCACAAAAATCCTTATGGTAACCCAATCAAGCTGCCAGCTGATCCACTAAACCCACTTCTTTTCCAACATGCTCGTCTCCCAGCTTTTCATTTCATCAGTGCTGATTGCATTCTCCTGGCTGGAGAAAACGAACCAGGGGACCTTTTCTTCCAGCAACAGCTGCTGCCCTTTCTCTTTTTCTTCCCTGACTGTTGAGCTCTCCTTCTACAGCTTCTTCTCCATTCCCTTCTCTTTCCCTGTGGTCTTTTTCCCCTTTTACTGCCAAAACCACTTCCTTTTATATCCTCTCCTCTTCTCCCCTTTTTCTTCAGTTCACCTCCAGCTCCATGCTGTTTCCAGAAGCACCAATCAGCTGGAGGCAATCTGCTGGAGCCAATCAGCTGGAGCCTTGCTGGCACTCCTGGGGCTTCTGCTGAGCCCCAACAGTCCTGCAGCTCCAGCTACCTCTCTCTCAGGCTTGGGTCGCTTTGGCTTATTCCCCTCCTGCACTACACTTCTCTAGGATGGTCGCATAGCACCTGCCACCTGCCAAAGTACCACTAGTGGTACGCATAAAACTGGTTGAAAAACCCTGTTCTAGTCCACCCCCCTGCTTGAGCCTATTCCATTTCAGACAGGTGGCTGTCTAGTCTCTTCTTAAAAGTCTCCATCCAGCAATGGGACACCCACAACTTCTGCAGGGAAGGCATTCCACTGGTTATTTTTTCTCGCTGTTAGGAAAATTCCCCTTAGTTCTAGATTGCTTCTCTCCTCGATTAACTTGCATCCGTTATTTCTTGTCTTGCCTTCTGGTGCTTTGGAAAATAGATTGATATTCTTATCTTTGTGGTAGCCCTGTGCTACCTTAGACATAAGGTGGGGGGAGGGATGTCACATGATTGCAAACAATAACTATGTTGATGTAATGTGCTTAATTAAGTTAATTAAATACCTACACATATTAAGCTATGTGTAGGGCTAACAGACTGCAAAAATAACAGGTTTGGTCTCCAGACATGTAAATGTGTAGCTTAACTTGCTGCTGGAAATTCTATTTGGTCAGTTTACGGTTCAATATATTGTGTGAATTAAGAAAAATAATTATCAGATTCATTCACCTAACCTACAAAGGTACTTTTTCCTATTTTCCGGCAACTGCGAGACAGGATAACATGAAATCCCATCTCCCAAGGCCAGGCGAAAGATAATTTCTCAAGTTGCCACCACAGTCTGCCCTTCTGATGGGTGCAGAGCTGGCGCTCTGCAAAGCTGGTCAATGTATCTCTATGGCTTCCACCAACACTTTTAATGTTTCTGGTCTCGCCCTCCTTCGGCGGTAGCAAGGCCTGTCGGGTGATGGGTGTAAGGGGCCTCAGTATTTCGGTGAAGGGGACTGAACCAGATCCCATGGAAGTGGAAGAGGGTGAGCTGTTGCTTCATACTGGAGGCCCCCCTACCCCCTCACCTCTGCTACAGCCTCAGCAGAGGAAGTAGCAGTGCCGGTGGGGCACTCACTGAGGCAGCTGATGCCGGTAATGAACCCAGGTGCCCTGCTTCCTGTTATCATGCCGCAGCCTCTCATGCTGCCCAACTGGTCCTGAGCACAAAGTTGCATCCCCATGTGGCAGTGTTGCTGAAATTGGCCGCATCACTCCAGTGGGGCGATGTGAGAGCTGTGGCAGGATTCCGGTGAGGTAAGTGGTCCAATCCCACTTACCTCACCGGCTTTGCCTCATGGCAGCGGCACTGGCAGTTCCCCCCCCCCAACCTCACCCATTTCCCTGGCTCCGTTACCAACAGCAGCTCTCTCAAGTGGCAATCTGCACAGCTGATCAATGTATCTCTATGACTTCCATCTTCATTTTTCATGTTTCCAGTCTCACCCTCCTTCGGAGACAGCAGGGCCTGTGAGGTGATGGCGGCTGTATTTTGGTGAAGGCGACTGAGCTGGAGCCCATGGAAGTGGAGGAGGGCGAGCTGTTGGGCGCTCACTGAGGCAGCTTCTGCCAGTAATGGAGCTGAGGAAACGGCCCCGGAAACCAGCCCCACTTGTGCTGCGGCCAATTTTGGCATGTTGCTGTATCACGGGGATGCAGTATCATGCCGCAGCACCAGTGAGGTGGAGTGAGAGGCTCTGGCAGTGGGGAATGTGGGCTCCAGGAAGCCGGGCATGTGGGTCTAATCCCCCTTCCCCCATTGACTTCACCTCATGGCAGTGGCACCGGCAGCTTGTCCCCCATCCAGCCCATTTCCTCAGCTCTGTTACCGGCAGCAGCTGCCCCAGCAAGCACCCCATCGGCATGGCTAGTTCCTCTGGTGATGCTGTAGCAGAGGGGAGGGGATAGCAGGGGCTCCAGTCTGAAGTAATAGCTTGACCTCCTCCACTTCCATGGCCTCCAGCTTGGTCGCCTTCACCGAAATATGGAGGCCCTGTACACCCACCATCGCCCCACAGGCCCTGCTACCACCGAAGGAGAAGACCAGAAACAGGAAAAGTGTTGGTGGAAGCCATGAAGATGCTGACTGGCTATGCAGAGCACCACTCGAGGTAGCGGCTGTGCTAATGAGAGGGGCGGACTATGGCAGCGACTTAAGAAATTATTTTTCACCTGGCCTCAGGAGATGGGTTTTCATGTTATCCCGCCTTGCCAGAAAATAGGAAAAATACCTTTGAAGGTTAGGTGAACCTGATGATGATTAATATTCTCAATTTGCACAATCAGGAGTGTGTGTGTGTGTGTGGGGGGGGTGTTCTGCCATGGATCAACCGGTTCTCCAAACTCAAAAAAATTTAGGTACCAGTTCTCTCAAACCGGTGTGAACTGGCTGAATCCCATCTCTGACCTTAGAGATCAAATAAAATGTACAGTGTACAGTCACCATGGGCCTTGCTCCTTAGCGGTTGTTGGTGTCTACTGCCTTGTGACTCACTACATTATTCCTTATGGGAAAAATTTCATTTGTATTCATCATTTTTGGTACTGATTGCACCTCCTGGAACCAATTAACGATGAATACTGAGGTACCACTGTATTATAATTAAAGGAGAAGAGACACATTAATACAGAATGAAGCAAAGTAAACCAACTTTGGAATGGAACCTGCTGTTAGAAAATCTGTTTTATTGTACAGAAATGGTGGCAGAGGATTATTATATAGTCATACAGATGGGTAGCAGAGCATGGTGACATAGCCATACAGATCAAATAAAATGTACAGTGTACAGTCACCATGGCCCTTGCTTCTTAATGGGTTCAACTGTCACAGGAAACTCTCCTCAGAACAAGTAGAAGAAGAGATTGGATCTAGTCTAGGTTCAGCCCTAAGAATGGGATGACAAATACATTGGTTGCCTTGTGGATGTTCTGCACTGGGATCTAGATGGGTGGCATGCCCTTTTTCTTGTTTTGTTCATTCTGTCAGCAGCTTTTTATTACCTTCAAGCATGGTATCCTTTGAGGACATCTATGACGTTTGCTCTGGCTGGAGAATATGAAGTCCATAGAGAAATTTATTAAAAATGAAAAAAGATACTAAGACTTAACAGATAGTAATATGTTGCATTGGCATCCAAAGGGGTAAAAAAGATAAAAGATAACAAGCATACAGCTGTTTGTTTGACCAGGTTAGGCATGTTGTGTGAACCCAGCAATATATTGAACACGTTCCAGTGTTGAGTAAATAGAAGCAAAACATAATATTAAGTGAATAGGTATATAGGAAACGTTTATTATAGTGAATAGCTACTCCATAATTACTTTTATGCTTTTTATATTGTTTATGTTTAAAACTTTGTGGGAATAGCACAAAATTTGTAAGGGTGTGGATGCAATGTCACTTTTACAACAGGAGCTTCATTGAGTTCTTTCACTCCTTCAGGCAACTGGAAACTGAAGGCCCTCAACAGGCTGATCAGAAAGATGAAGATCTCAGTTCTTGCCAGCTGCTGTCCCAAACATGCACGTTGACCTGTAGATCAGACAAAGCATGCATAAAGGGAATAATAATCTGTTCTCTAGTTTATAAGTACATCATCAAGGAAATCTTAAAAGATTTGTAGCATCCCGAAAAGGTTTCCATGTTGACCTGGCAATACTGTGGTAGGGGAAATTCTTCAGTCATTAAAATGGCAGAGTTAATGAATCTAGGAGCAAAACTTTGTGGCCTGAATCCATTGATAACAAGCTACAATTTGGCTTGGATTTTGGATTTAGTTAATAATTATTCCCAAAACACCAGAGACAATTGTGCAAACTTGTACATGTCTTATAAAACTCTACTGATTAGAATGTAATTATTACTAGTATTTCTTTGTCATTGAAACCCTGTAGCCTAAGGAGAATTTCATATTCCCACAGTTTTGAAACTAGAAGGAATTCAGATTCCTGGATTTTCTGTTCAGACCATGATAATTTCAGAATCCGTGATTTTAGTGGTCCTGGTGGCGGGAAACTATAACTTATAAATTGCTTTGGGCTCAAGGACGTACCTATTCCAAATGGCAGGAACTCTTCCCATTCAATGAACTTCCCATCCTTATCTAAAAAGTGATTTGGGTTAAATTCTTCAGGTGTCTCCCATTGTTCAGGGTCAAGAAGAACAGAGCGCAGGTCTGGGATAATAATGCTCCCCTGTAAAAAACAATAGGATTAAATAGAACAGTTTCATAAGGAAATGGGCAAAAAAATTCAAACAATATTGATGAAACATTTGGTTTTAACTTGCCTTTATGCACCCCTATTTGTTCATTTCCAAAGCAGATTGTGAGAGCAGTGGCTTCTCCTTTCTCCCCCACTTCCATTAAAATTGTAAGGACCCACCCCACTTTGCATCTTAAGAAGACAGAACTCTTGGAATAATTCTTCCAACAGGAATCCTTTATTAAGAGAAAATAGTTGCAGGCATTCTAGACAGGACTTGGGGTCCAAGCTCTCCCATTCAAGGTTTTAAGGGGTTTACCAGTAGCCTCACCCAATCACCCCCTTACATCCAGCGACAGTCTCAGGCATTACATTCCCACCCCCTTTTTCCTTACTGCCGGCTGGATGGAGACCTCAGAGAAAACTACATGAAAGGTAATAGCCCCCTTTGTTATGATTAGGCCTTTTTTGTGCTATCCACATTCAGTCTCTTTGAAGTATACTGAAGGAAGTGAGAGCCATAAAGCCCCTTTGTTCACCCCCTTCCCTTCATTGTATGACAGAATCCAGAGAAGGCAGAAATGGGGTTTTCTATAATTGATAACTAGAGATGAAATATAATTGGATTCTGACAAAAATAGACAGCTGTCCTTATCAGTCCAAATTACCCCAATAAATACACAAAGAAACATGGTGACACATGACTTCAGTTCTGAACTTAATATTATCATCTTCTTACAATAAATAGAAAATGTTTAGGGTTCTGGCTTTAAAATCTGGCAGCTGTTAAATTTAAACACATCATCCATTCCCCACAAAAGTTTGCTATTCTTCCCAATTCAGTTTTGCATGACTACTTCGGCAATTCCTGAACAGAGAGCTTCTGTCAAAGTCCATATTCTGCTTTTACTTCCATAATGGATTACTGGAATACAGCTTGACCATGTTTCTCACCTTTGGAATAAGGTAACCCTTCATCTTCACATCCTTTGTGCTTTGCCTGGGAACCCCAAAAAGCAAGACATATTTTACACGCTGCATTTCATGAATCACAGCATTGGTGTAAGGCAGCTTCTTCCGATCCTGATAGGAAATTGACCCTGAGAAGCCAAACACATCTTCAATCTCCTTCTTGACTTTCTCTAGAAAAATGATAGAAATAGAAAGTTCATTTTCAATATTGTGTTTCCTTTATTTGTTTCCAAATTTTAATAGAACTTTAGGACCTGGAATAGCATTTAGGGAAGGCATGTCAAACTATTAGGCAACGTATTGGGCCGATTTTGCCTGCAATGGGTGGGCGTGACTTCCACGTGACGCATCCGGCCCGCGAGCCAGCAGTTTGACACCCCTGATTTAGGGCATTAATTGTAATCATTTAATAGAATCATATGTCTGGGAGGGACTTTGGAAGTCTTATAGTCCAAACCCTGCTCAAAGCAGGAGCTTTATATCCCATTCAAAACCTCTAATCATGGAGCACCCACAGCTTCCAGAGGTAAGACATTCCACTGATTAAGTTGTTCTTTCTGACAGGAATTTTTTCCTTACTTTGAGGTTGAACTTCTACATATTATGTCTTGTCCCTCTGATGCTCTAGAGAATTTCTCAATCCTCCCTTCTTCGTAACAGCCTCTCATGTGCTGTAAGAGAATTATTATGCCCCTCAATACTTCCTTTCGGTAGGCTAGGCATATCCAGCTCTCTCAACCATTTGTCCTATGATTTAGCCCCCAGACCATTTATAATTTTTGTTGCTCTTCTCTGCACACTTTCCAGGACCTCAACATCTTTTTGTATAATGGTGATCAGAACTGGATGTGGTATTTATTTATTATTTATTTATTTATTAATAAAATTTATATGCCACCCAATCCCTAGGGACTCAGGGCCGCGTACAAAATTAAAACAATAAATATAACAATAAAACAGTAAAATAAATGCATTCATACAGCATGTCCCAATCGTATCCGGCCCCCCCCCGCGGACATCAGTCCCAGGCCTGCCGGAACAGGAGAGTTTTAATGGCTTTCTTAAAGGCTGGCAAGGTGGGAGTAGTTCGAATCTCGGGGGGAAGTTGATTCCATCAGGTCAGAGCCACCACAGAAAAGGCCCTTCCGCGAGGGCCCGCCAGCCGACATTGTCTGGCTGATGGGACCTGAAGGAGGCCCAGTCTGTGGGACCTCACTGGTCTCTGGGAACTATGCGGCAGTATGCAGTCCTGTAAGTAACCTGGTCCTAAGCCATGAAGGGCTTTAAAGGTGATAACCAACACCTTGAATTGTGTCCGGAGACCCACAGGAAGCCAGTAAAGCTCATGGAGGATAGGTGACACGTGGGTGTACCTTGGTGCACCCACAATCGCTCTCGTGGCTGCATTCTGAACCAACTGCAGCCTCCGAACGCTCTTCAAGGGTATTCTAAGTGTGTTCTCACCATGGCAATATAAGGTAAGACTATCATGTCAGCTGCCACCTTATGCTTGCTTGTGCCTGGCTGCCATGTGATGACAGTCTGCCATGAATGCTGGGGAGGTTGGTTCGGAGAGGAAATGCTTGGGGGAAAATGAAAGTAACAACTGTATCTTCCCGAGATGCTGCCTCAAGGTCACCTGACTGGGAAAAGAAGGCAGCTTCATACCAACCTGGGCTGGAACTGATCACTCTGAAAACATCTCACATGAACCTGGTTGGCCATGGGGAATCATGGGAGGCAGGTAATGGAGGGAAAAGTTGAACTAAGGGATTTTGGTAAAGATTCTCAGTTCTGACTACGCATTATGGCAATGTACTTGACATCTAATAAAGCTATACCTTTCTCAGGAAATGGAGCCAAGGATCATTTCTATTTAGAGGTTTAAATGGTGGCAGATCTGAAAAATCACTTCTTCTTGTCTTGATGCTATTGCCTCTGTTGATGTAATGCCTGTGCCGACATTTTGTAACAATAAAAGACTTTTAGGAAAATCAATGCCTGGAAGTTCTTTGAAGTGTTTCATTAGCCGGAACCATAACACTAGGATTGCTTGATTGTTTTGTCAGCTGCAGTACATTTCTGCCTCATACTTAAGTAATGGTCCAGTCGGACACCTAGATCCCTCTCAGTTACTGTCACATCACTTGGGTCACAAAGGAAGGAGATGCAAAATTGAATATCATGGGAAAATTGATGGTGTTGGATGAAGATATTTCATGAAGATGTTAAAAAGGAGTGGAGAGTACGGAGCCCTGAGGCACACCAAAAAGGAATAGCCATGGGCTGGACCTCTCACTCGCTATCACCAAAAATTGGAACTGGCCTTGAAGAAAAGAGCTCAACGATGCAGCTGCCTTCTCTGGCCTTGAGGCAGCATCTTGGGAAGATAAAGCAGTTACTTTCATTTCCCCCCAAGCATTCTCCCACCCAAACATCCTCCCCAGCATTCATGACAGAGTGTCATCGCATGGTAGCGAGGCACAAGCAAGAGTAACGTGGCAGCTGACATGATAGTCCTACTTTAGATTGCTGTGGTGAGACCACGTTGAATTGTCCGGCCCCTATTTTTCCAGCAGGCCCAAAGGAAACCCTAGCTGATGGTATCAAAAGGTACCAAGAGTCAAGAGGAGCAAAGATGGATGTACCAACCCCATCCTGCTCCCCACAAACCTCATCTACAAGTATAGCTAATGCTATTTCTGTCCCATAACCAGACCTGAAGCCTGATTGAAAGGGGTCCAGATAATCTGTTTCATCTGAAGCCGCAGTACAACCACTTTCCCCCCACAATGCTAACATCCTTTCTATTCATGGTAGGGAGCCCCACATTGTACATCACCTTACATCCGTCCTCTTGATTATTTTTCTATATTCATTATCCTACTGTAATTTGGTCTTCTATATGCAATTTAAGATGAAAACAAGTAACATATCTAAAAACTTTGGTAAATTTCTGCATTTAAAGTGTGTTAAATGTTTCAGATTTGTACTGATTTCCAGTTTTTAGTTCCTCATTCAATATTTTATTGAGGATTCAAAGAAGAATTTCTGTATGTACATTCTTGGCTTTCCTTTAAACGTACTAACTTCATGCTTCTTTTTATAGGGTCAAGAATCTACAAAGCATAAATTCAGTTCAATCATTCAGTATTTCAAATAATTTCTCTGTGTTTTAAAACTTGAGAGTGACCATCGTTCCACCCACCCATGTCTGTCTCACCTTGGATGTGAGGATGATTGGTCAAGAAGAGCAGTACCCACGTCAGAGTAGCCAAGATCGAGTCTATCCCAGCAAAAAAAAAATCCAAAATGCACTGAACCAGGTTCTCTTCACTGTAGGTTGAATCGGGGTCATTCATGCTCTGAAGTTTAAAATAGAAAATGAAAATTACAATAAATTCTATGCAACCCAATTACAATTTAGTGAATAAATAATTAAAAAATGCATGTCACCCCAGTCCTTCTCTTCATTAAAATAAATATACCCAGTTCCTGCAACTGTTCTTTATATGTTTTAGTCTCCAGTTCCCTAATCATCTTTGTTGCTGTTTTCTGTACTTTTTCTAGGGTCTCAACATCTTTTAGCATCATGGTGACCAAACCTGGATGTAGTATTCCAAATGTGGTCTCAGCAGTGCAGTAGAAAGCAGCACTAATACTTCACATGCTCTTTGACACCAAGTACCACATTGCTATCAAGTACCATATCATCTACTTTTTTTCCATCCACAATGGTTCAATGTTGTTCTTTTTATTCAACATGAATACTGCAACCAGAAATTTACAATTATAACACAAATGCTACTATGATATCAGTAAAGTGAGTGAAAAATGAACCATCCTTGAACCATTTGTACAGAGGTAGAAAATCTGCCTAAATCGTTGAGGTATAGAGGCTAATATTAAGAAGGGTGTATATGTTGAATGTAGTGACCAGGCCAATGGTACACTCAAGACTGTTGGAATATAATAGTAAATGTAGTGACTGAGTTCAAATCAATAAAAGTTGCTTTTAAAAAATCATTCTGGGTCTTTCTCTGAAAACATTGGGGAAGAGGACCTATTTTCCTTGTCTCAAACTGTTTTACATTTTTACTTATTGTCAAGGCTGTGAAAGTATCTGTACTTTTCCAATCATTTCATGGAAAGTATTCATTTAAGTATGAATTAATCAAAAGTCCCTGCTAATTCTTTTCCTTCTTAGTGGAACTTCTTTAGAAAAAAGGGGGAATGGTATGATACTAAAGAGGTACAATAGAGCTCTTATTTAGAAGCATCTGGGATTTAAGTGGGAGGAGATCACCCCGCCCAGAAAGATTTAGGGAATATTAAAAGGCAGAATATATTTCCCCAAAGGATCTTAAAAGCAGAAACGAAGGCCCAGTTTTTCTTAATAGCCCCCAGTAGGAACTCAGGAAACCACCTTTTAGAAATGCAGATGTGGTAATCCTATTCAGAAAGGTTGGAACCATGAAGCTAGAAGCTGATGAGATTAGAAAGACAAAGACCCTAAAAGCTGCATACCCCACCATCATCAGAATACCAGAAAGGCACACTGAAGCTCAGGTCAAAGGTTATGCCCACAGGAACAAGAAGCAACCTCAAAAGCCCAAGAACGTATTAAAAATCCACCACTCCCAGCTACATGTGGTCAGCTGCTCCAGAGCCTCATGTCTTGTGGTTCTGCTCTTCAATAAACTACAACCTTCTTTCTAAAGCCATCTCCATTTTGTTTATTCCCAGCTCGGACTGGACCCTGATGGAGATTTTTCTTTCAACATTTAGGTTGGATTAAATTCAGAATGGGAGCTGAATAAAAAAAAAATACCTCTAAGGAAAACAAAACTAGTAGCTCCTCTTGTTTACTTATAGTGAGGAATGTAATAATTCCTTGCCCATATATTGAAGTACAATAAACCCATACCTTCTCCATCTGAAGAAGATAGTAATCAATGAAGTCCTGTGGCTCATGCAGAGCATGAAATTCCTTGTGTTTCTCTATTTCCTGCTTTGCAAAGGAAAGGATAAGCTCCCTAGAAGCCAGGGCTTTCTGATGAGGGCCTGGGAGGTAGTTCATTAATTGTGGGAATTGATGATAAATCTAATAAAAACAGAAGATGTGATGTTATCTATTTATATCCTACCAGAGTTACAGAAAATTCTCAACACTCTCAACTTACAATGTGAGATATTTATTGTATTTATGTGTTTAAAAATAAAAGATACAGTATTACAATTAAAAAGGCAGAAGATACAAGTCAGAGTTAAAGTAACATAGGTTAGTAGGTTTCCCCTGACTAGTCATGTTTGACTCTGGGGGTGGTTTTCATCTCTATAACCTAGCCAGGACAGCCAAAATTGTCAAAAGAAGCTTTCACAGTCATGTGGCTGGCATGACTATATGCTGAGGTGCATGGTACACTGTTACCTTCCCACTGAAGTGGTACCTATTTATCTACTTGTATTTGCCTGCTTTCAGACTGCTAGGCAGGCAGGAACTGATGAAGGAATGGGAGCTCACCCCATCACACAGTACTCAGGTCTCAACATTTTAACAAATGTTCTACTGGCTATACAGAGCATATAAGTAGCTGCTCCAGATAGGAGGTTCAAACTCTTGGTTTGGGAAGCTTTGTCTATTTAATAGAAAACATGACTTACCAAGTGGAAAATGTTACCAGTGAAATTAAAAACAAAATCAAGGGCTTGAATTAATTTCTGGAAGTTTTCATCTTCAGGAGCAAATGGATGTCCAAAACTCAAAGCACATGTGATATTAGAAACTGCATTTAGTACAGGAAATGAAGGGTCAAATGGCTGTTCTGCGAATGAAGATATTTTATAATGATTTTTTAAGGAACATGAGTTCTAAGTGGATGAAGGAAGACAACTTGGGACTTGAGCCATTATGATAACCCCAAATTGCATACCTTTTGTTTGTCTAAAGATCTCCACCAACGTCTGAGCTGCATCTTCTATTTGATGCTCAACACTTTTCTTCCCCAGGCCCAATTTCCGCAGAGAAGTGATGGCAATGTGTCTCTGCTATTTCCAGGTGTGGCCATTGAAAGAAGAATTCCTGTGGGCATCAGCAGACAATGATAAATGATTCCTGATAACATTCATGTTAACAAAAAAAAACAACAGTTAGGGCTAGTTGTTGCCAAATACCTCTCTGGATTTCTGGAGAGAATACCAAATAAGTGAAAAATTCTAAATGCTTAAATTTAGAATTCACTATAAATTTGGATTCTTCTTAAATTAATCACATATCAGTTAGAAAATGTTATGATGTTGTTGATAGTCTATATAAATTGAATAATGGCATAAGAATTGTAGCAAGTGAACGTATTAATTTTAGAATATCGATATCTAAATTATTCACCATTATAGCATATCTACAAGAGCAATTCAGAAATAAACCTTCATTTGGTTATCAATGACAGACACTCGTAGATACAGAACTTTTATTATATACATTAGAAAACTACAACATTACATTATTTTTTGACATGATCGCCATTCAAATTAGGCACTTGTCAAAACGTCTTACAAGATTTGAAATGAAGAGGTGGCAGTCACTCAACACCAAATCTGGGTTCTGCTTTGGACTTTCTCACGCATTATACCGAGGAAGGAGAACAATTTCTTAACAGAATTATGACCGGCAATGAGACCTGGGTGTCGTACTTGAACCACAAAAGCAAACAGCAATCAATGGTGTGGTGTCATACTCACTCACCAAGGAAACCCCAAAAAGCTCAGCAAACATGGTCAGAAAGGCTATGGCAACAGTATTCTGGGATGCCAAAAGAGCACATCTAGTGAAGTTCATGGAGCGTGGGTTGACCATCAGTTCAGACGTCTACGAAAACTCAGATGAGCCATCCATAACAAGCACCAGGGCATGCTGACTTCCGGTGTGGTGTTGGTTCATGACAATGCTTGTCCGCACACCGCTAGATGTACCCAAGAACTTTTGAAGCAGTTTCGTTGGGATGTTTTTGATCACCCCTCCCCATAGCCCAGATTTGGCGCCGAGTGACTATTACTAAGAAATTTCAAACCTTGTAAGATGTTATGACGTGGCTCAATTTGACTGGCAATTATGTCGAAAAAGTATGTAATATTGTAAGTTTTCTAATGTGTATAATAAAAGTTCTGTATCTGTGAGTGTCTGTCATTGATAACCAAATTAAGGTTTATTTCCAAATTGCCCTCATATATCTATCTATTATCATCAATCACTGTATCACTGTCTCTGTATTCTTTCTCTATCTATCTATCTATCTATCTATCTATCTATCTATCTATCTATCTATCTATCTATCTATCTGGCACCAGGAGCCAGACAATTTTTCCATGCACTGACATAACTGTGTGATGCTTATTTACGTACAATTTCTTACTACTTGCACTTACCCCTCTCTTTCCCTAAAGCAGCCAATAAAGGATCATCTGGTCGGTCAGAAAATTCTTCTGGGAAGCTGGTCATTCCTTCTTTCACAGTTTTCAACCCAGACAGCAATATTAGAAGGTGATGTCCAATGGTCAAAGTGGATATATTTCCATATCGCTTTACATGCTACGAAATGAATCAATGCTGAGCAATGTTATAACCAAATGAAATAGATTATTTACAGTTAATATGCCACCTACAGACATTCTTTCCTAAATTCTTACTTTGTTTCCCTGAAAGTTAGACCCAGCCTGATAGTAAGCCCTAGCTTGAGTTTTGGGGGTGGGCCTAATATAAGCTATACACCAAAACTAAGCCTTACTTTTGGGGTGAAGCGCACACGTAAAAATCAAGCTAGAGCGGGGGTGGGTGGGGTGAATGTGCCCCATGCTCCTGAACCTGCTTACCTTACTGGTAAAACCACCACAACCAGGGGTCCCACATCCTGACACCTGTTGCACTGGTACTTGACTTCTGCGGCCGCTAACTGCCACTTGTGGCCAGATGCCATGTGGTACATTTTGCTGTTGCTGCTCCTCCCAGCAGGATGCTGCATGGAGCTTCAGGCTGCTTGTGCACTTCAGGCCGCTTCCGCTGCTTGCACAGTGCTTTGGCCTGCTTCTGCTATTTGTGTAGTGCTTCAGGCTGCTTCCACTGCCTGGCTGCAGTGGTCCTAAGGCAGGGGTGTCAAACTGCTGGCCCACAGGCGGGATGCATCACCAGGAAACAGCATCCACCCCATTGCTGGCAATGGAGAAAAAGCTCCGATACATCGCGCAACGTCACATGATGTCGCGAGTTTGACATATCTGTCCTAAGGTAAGACATTCTCCAAAATTAAGACCTAGTGCCTCTTTTGGAGGCAAAAAAAAAAAAAGACTGGGATTTAATTTTGGGGAAATACGGTAATTCTAAGACATATGGAAGTTCAATCAATTTATTACAGCCAAAGGCCAACACCTAAATTAAACATTCAAATAAAACAAAACTAAACAGAACCATCACAAGAGGACATAGCAATATATTGCTAATTAAAGGGAGGAGGTGTGGGTGGTGCTGGTTGCTGAAGGCAACCGTTTGAAAACCGCGTCTTGGAATCTTGATCTATGACTTCTCTTGTGATTTCTTGTTTGTTTTTCATCGTGCTCTTTTGGACTTAAGTTTGCTGTATTTGACAGGTTTGTCTACGATATTAAAAGGCATTTTTGTTTTTATTTGTAAGTCTCCGGCCTATTGTAGTAGCAGGGGTTTTGTCCTTGTGAAGTTAACAAGGACGGCAATCGGCTGGAACAGAACAGCTGTTGCACAGAATCTATCCACCTGCGCCATGGTCACTGCCTGCTCATACTTAAGCAGCCACTGGATATAAATACTTTCTTAATGACCAGGACACCTATCAATTAATGGGGAGGATATGGTTTTTCCGAATAGCTCTGTAGAAGGAACATCGAAGGAGTATGTGTCCAATGGTCTCCACCTCTCCCGAGCCACAGGAGCAGAGTCTTTCAGACAGTGGTGTCTCTTTATACTTGCTGTATAGGACGGCCAATGGAAATGCATGGCACCATGCAAACAAGAATGCTTTCCAGTGGTTTACTGACTCCACCTGACTAAGATACCTGGCAGGTGTAACCATGTATCTAATAGAGTCTGGAGCCAGAAAGAGCAGAGCTATACCTAAGTCCGCTTGCCTTTCGATGTCCTCTACCCTTTGACGCAAGGTTTGTTTTGCTTGGTCATAGTCCAATTTGAGAATTGAGGCTGATGAGAAGCCTAGTTTGGCAAGGTTGGACTCGACTGCCTTGATCCATGAAGAAGAGAATTTATCTTGTAGAATTAATGGAGCAAGGCCTTGCAGAAAGCAATTAAACCTTAGCCAGATGTTTAAGGAAGCTATACAGATTCTTGCTTCGACTTTTATCAATCCTGTCTCCAGGCGCAGATGTGCATTTGGGACAGCGCGGCATCTGGAGAATTGTTCTGATAAATTTGGATTGAACTCTTTCCAGTGGTGTAAAACCCGAAGCTAAGGGTCCGAGCAAGGTCCCGTAGAGAAGCTATGCTAACGACTTGGCCGGAAAGAGCTTAATTGCAGCTGGAACATAGTGTCCTCCCTTTGTACAGAAAAAATTAAGAATGGCATTTGCTGATTGTTGGCCAGAGGCAGCCGCATATTCTCCATGGGCTTTTTGTGAGCCAGTGGCATGGATGACCATCCCTAGGTACTTAAAGGTGGTTACCTGCTCTATTTTGTGGCTATTTAAATACCATGAGTACCGTTTTGGCCTTTTTGCAAAAGCCATAACCTTTGTTTTCTCATAATTTATGTCCAGTTTATTATATTTGCAATACTGGACAAGGGCTCTCAAGACTCTTTTAAGGCCAAATGGAGTCCTGTAGAGAATCACAGTGTCATCTTCATAGAGCAGCAGAGCAATGCTTCGGTCACCTATTTTTGGGGGGGTGGTAATTTGGATTATTTAACCATTTTATCGTATCGTTTATGTAAAATTGAAGAGCAAGGGGGCCAAAATGCACCCCTGTTTAACCCCCTTTTGAGTTTCAACTGACCTCGAGAAAGACCTTGCATATTACACCTCACCTTGAGGGATGTTTTGGTATGTAAGGCACGTAACAGATGGAGGAGTCTGTGATCAATTGAGGCAGCTTCCAGCTTCTCCCATAGCTTAGTCCTTGTAACCATGTCAAAAGCTGCCTTAAGATCCATAAAGGCAACATATAATGATACAGGTCTATCTGATACATATTTTTCAATCAAATGATGAAGAACTAGGAACTGATCTATGGTGCCTCTCCCTTTTCTAAACCCAGCTTGTTCTTCGGCAATCAGTTCTCAAGATCCAGCTACTCCTTTAATTTATCTTGAAGATGTTTGGCATAGAGTTTGCTGATTATATTTAGCAGACTTATTGGTCTGTAGTTAGCAAGGTTGTCTCTCTTTCCCTTTTTATAAACTGGGACCACAATTGCCAAGCTCCAATCCTCTGGAACATGGCCTGTGGAGTCAATATAGGTGAATAGCGCTGCCAGGATGGGTATCCACCACTCCATATTATTATTTGGTAATTCAGCCAAAATGAAGTCAGCTCCTGGAGCGTTCCTGATCCCGAGTTGGCCAATGAGGGATTTAATTTCAAACTCAATAATACTCAATAATAATAATAATACTCAAACTCAGTAATACTCTCTCACACAGTGTTCCTTCAAAGTTATTTCTGAACGCTAAAATTAAGGTAGCTTACATTGCTTAAACATTTGGTGAAGGATAACATGCCAGAAGTGGAAAGGTAGTTCAATGAAACTTTATAAGAAACAATATCAAGGTCTTCCTATAATATGTGTATATCCCTTTATGCATGTTAAGTGATTGCAGAAAAACCTGTTATATTGCTTCATTCGCCAACCACCTACATATCTAAAACAGATGCTACTCTTCAGAATTCAGAACCAGAAAATTTTTGAAATCATTATAGAACTGCGGAATTAGAAGGGGCCATTTAGGCTATCAAGTTCCACCTATTGTTCACTGCAGGAATATAAAATAAAGCATCTTCAACAAAGGAATTTCTAGTCCCATTTGAGCAGAGTGAAGGGGAAACCACCTCTCTCTGGTGGATTTATTCCAATTATTAAAGGTTTCTTAGTAAGATTGAATTAGAATTTGCCTTCTCAAAATTCAACCCCATTATTTCACACCCTGCCCCATAAAATGTTAGTGAGCAGGCCATGGCTTGAATATTTTGGCATGATGTGGAAAATAACTCTTCAAGTGCCATCACTATTGTTATGTATTCATGTGAATTACTTGGAAACTGTTGGAAACGGTCAAACGGCTGCGTCTGTTTAAACTCCAGACTGTCTGTCTACATACTTGTTAGCTTGTGTTTAAACAAGAAATACTGCTTTAATTCTGTTGGCCGCCGCCTAGCAGTGATCTGTATAAATAGAGGTTAAGTGGCAGTTAGTGCTGTTTCTGTGTTAACTTAATAAATGAGTTGTTGTTTGCACCTGCTGCCTTGTCAATGTCTCACCGATCCCGAAACATAACAGTGGTGACAAAGATGGGATGTGCTGCTAAGGGAGAAAGAGCCAGAAGTCACTAGGGGTGAGACCAGGCCTCAGCATCCTGAAAGGAACCATGATCCTCCTCCCCCTCTACCTGCCAGCAAGCAATGCTGGAAGCCCACATCCTGAGGGACCCTTCCCTAGGACCAACACAGAAGCCTTAGCAGCACAAGGCATTGAGAGGTCAGAAACAACTCACCATGACCAAGCTTGGAAAACTGTCAGAGTTCGACGTGTCGCATTCAGAGAGGTGGAGTTCATACATTTCTTGAGTCAAGAACTATCTGAGAGCTAACCAAGTTAGTGAAGATGGCTTAAAGGCCGCAACGCTGCTGTGCCTGTGTGGCCAGGCGATGTTCGATATAGCCAAAAACTTAGTCGCTCCAGCTACGCTTGAGTCGGTCGCCTACTCCGAGCTCAAGAAAATACTCAAGGAACACTTCGAGCTGAAGCTCTCTGTTATTGCCTGGAGACACGTCTTTGAACAAAGGGAGCAGCAACCAGGAGAGTCTGCTGCCGAGTTCATAGCCACCCTACGAAAGGCGTCCCAGCTCTGCAATTTCACAGACCTCGAAGAGAGACTGAGAGACCATTTAGTGTGTGGATTGAGAAATAGGGACCTTCAGCAAAAGTTGTTCGCGAAGGAGACCTTGTCATTCCAAGATGCCCTGAAGGAAATTATGGCCAAAGCCACCGGGGGAGCCGTCAAAGCTTTATGGCCCCCCAAGAACACTCCCAGCCCAGAAACTATCCACCATGAAGACGCTGAAAGAGTCAAGGACCTTGACATGGACAATGAGATCAACTGGCTGCAGAAGCCACCAGAAAGAGCCCAGCGGCCATTTGACAAGGCAGTTCCCTTCACTCGATGTGCAGGCTGCGCAGGCCGACATAGACGCTCAGAGTGCAGGTTCCGCACAGCAATATGCCGGGCATGCGGCAAACAAGGCCACATCACCACTGTCTATAAAGGTCACCAGAGGGAAGTTCCACAAGAAGAGTTCCCCAGGGCAACACAGAGTTGGCTACTGCTCC